TTTTGAGGACGCTGCAACAATGTTAAGTTTGCAAACTGCTTATAAGTCACTCTATCTTCAAACAGTCATTAAATGAATGGTTGTAAGTCAAAGGTCTACCTGTAAATGGCTTGGTTCAGGGAACCAAGAAAACCACCAAGCTCAGCTTGCTGGTCATGTGACTGGATGGGCGTGGCCAACTCAATGTCACTCACATCAAGGGGCGCTTCTCCTCGCCTGGCCTCTCATGACAGTGGGGATGCTGCAACGGTCGTAAGTGTGAAAAATGGTCATAAGTCTCTTGTTTCAGTGCCATTGCAACTTTGAATGGTCACCAGTTTTAGACCAAAACTCAAAAAGGGTATGTAAACTCACGTTTGAATGTCAATCTTTCTAGCTAGCCACGAAGCCTTGCTGAATGTCACTCATCTTGGTTTTCCTTGTCATTAAAAGCTTCTTTCTGGTGTCTTTCTTCATTATTCAATTATTTCTCCAAAGTGCTAACTCCAGCGGGGGAGTATTTCCTCCCAACAGCAGTGTAAAAAGCTTAAAACAACCCTTCCCCTTTAAGAAAGTACCAGCAAAGGAAAAAAAAGAACCTACTTTGGAGACATTAAGTCTAGGCATACTGCCAAGAATGTAAGAAGGGTAGAAAAAAAACAAAAGGACTTTTCTTTCCCACAATTGGTTCTTCGAACTGCTTAGAAAGTTAACAACCGGTTCCAGAGAATAGGTGAGGACCAGTAAAATCCCACCCCTGCTTCTATCGATAATTATTTATTAGTCTGGCTTGGAAGTTGAGTCTTGCCTTTGAGCTAAGACCCAATGTTATTTATTGTGTGTCAGGCAGTGATCCCACAAACTTTCTGGATTGGCAGCCCGGCTGGGGATGGGAAGAGGGGATAATTCCTTGTGAATGGTAGGGGGCCCACGCAAGCGCATGCAGCTCCTATCAGGATACTGGCAGCTACTCCCATTTAAATCATGAGTCTCTAGCCAACTTCCAAAGCTTAAAGAAGATTTATTAGGAGTAAACAGGTCGGCACTTCCTGGGTGTAGCCAACTCTGGGACACATTATTCATTGTCACCCTTGACCCTGGTTTCCCCCCATCCCTCTGGGTGTATCGTAATTCATATTCTCCAATGGGACACATCCATAGCCAAGAGTCATCCATCATACACTCCAGTTAGAATTTTGTGTGGCAGAAACTTCAATCACCTGGAAACTATCTTTGAAAACATTTATGGAATGCAGTTTTGCAAGCAGCTGCACTGCTCCCCTCTCCCTTTCTGTTGGCAACTCTAAAAGGATCAGAGAAATATTTGATGAATTGACAGCTCCATTTGTGTGAACGCAAAATGGCTGCCGCTCGGGTGAGGGGAGCTTCGCACGCAAGGGCAAATGGCCGCCAACTCGCACGAGGGGAGCTTCGCACGTTCACACAGACTTGACCGCCACCTGCACGGCCCTGTTCCAAACAGGCTGCGGCCCCCGGTAGTGGGCTGCTGCCCCAG